CAGATCAATGGCCTACTGACCAAGGTGAACGAAGAAGGTCAGCAGGTGTGCACCAAGTAGAATCATCTCTAGCAATGTAGGCCCAAATAGCAGCTTTGGCTAAAGATACTAAGAAGTTTACACTGGCCCAAGTGCAGTGTCAACCACAAACAGAATGTGATATTTTCGGAATGGGACACCCAACACATGAGTGTCAAACCTCCACTGCAGAGGAAGAAGTGAATGTAGTGGGAAATATCAACAGAAGTTTGGCAATTAGGATTTTGAGTTTGATTATTTGTTGGCTTGTAACCGCTTTCATAATTCCAAGGCCCAAGAAAAAATTTAAGGCTTTAATATTTTCATACTTAATATATAAATATATTTTTCACGTGTAAGTTTATTCGGAATAATTCGATATTTTTTTGGTTTATTTTCATAAAATTAAAAACCTATCCTAATTATCGGTATAATTATAGATTTATATAAAAACTCACGATTTTATTAAATAAAACCTAAAAATCGGTTCGCTACGGTACGATTCGATTATTTCATTGGTTGGAATGAGGCCAGGCACCTCCCACCCTTTTTGGGTATTCTGGAGAAACGAATGCTGCTAGAAAAAAAAGATAGAAGCAGCATTGGTGCGGGATGGGTTTCCCCTGGTTTAGGTAATTTTAAAATATACATTGACACTCCAAGTTGTGATTGGGATGTGAGAAATCAAATATAGAAATAAAAATATTAGCTATGACTTATATTCCATTTTGGACGTGATTTTTCTACAACTAGTCTAGATAAGCAGTGGTAAAATCAAAAATTTTGTTAAGGGTATAGTTTGACATAACACTTGAGTTACGTTGACATGTTCTTTAAGAACGAAAATTTTTCGAGTCGAAATTTGCTTTGGACAAATTATAACCTTTTAAAAATGATAAGTTGATATTAGCTTGGTCAGGAAATTGGTAATATGTCGTAAGTGTACCTTAAGATGGCGTATGGAGATATTATTCGAGAAGTTTTCTAGAATTTAAGAATTAATCGAAGATCACCTCGTTTTCCCTTCTTTTTTTCTTCTTTGAACTGTTCTGATATCATTGATATAAAACATTGTTTACCCATAAAATGGTACGGGTGAATTTATAACATCGTTTATAGACACGTGAATTAACGTGATCCGAAAATATGAAATAAATAAGAATAAAATCAAGAATGTAAAAATAATTTAAAGAAACATAATCTTGATTGTATGATAAGCCATCCTGATATGAACAAAATTAAGAAGAAAGCGAATAATTTTATAATATGAGAGCAAATTCTAGCCTTTGTGTCCAGATATTTTTCCGTCCCTACAATGGATACTAATTCTCCTATTTATATCTCTATCGAGGGAGACAAGATTCCCAAATCAAGCTGCTCTTGATTGAGAATAAAATCACTATTGATGGCTGCATAACGGTTCGCTGATGCAGAGAGTCTTTGTAACGACTACTCGTAGAATTATGTCCGATGTTATCTCTTCAAATTGTATACGGTGGAAATCGGAGCTACCCAATTTCGTCCTTCGATGGAAAAAAGTGATACCACATCGGAAAACCAGGACGTCTAGCTCGAGGTCGATATCACTTATCGAGGTCAGAAGAAGGCATATATCGAGATGATGTCTGTATAGTTCAGTGACGGAAAGAGCGAGATACCCGCAACGGAGCGAAGATCACAGCGTGAATTTCGGAATGGATTGATCCTAGGTGGTTAATCAGTTGTCAAATATGATTTTCTACTATTATTAGAAGTGTACCTTATCTAGGGCTCCCCTATTATATAAAGGGGAATCCTATTCATATGTAAGCATTATTATTCACTGCTATGAAAATATACTCTCATTGCTCTCTTGCTATTTCACTTACTATTCAACAATTGCTTTATCATTTGATATTCTCATTATCACACCTCGAGATTATCATAGGTCGAGGTCGAGATAATGACTTGCATACTGGTTTGATTTATTTTATCGTCTAATTTATCTATTTAATTTCTTGCTTATCAATTGGCGTTGGATTAAATCACATATCCTTAAAACCACAGTATAAGTTTAATGTTACTCAAATTTAGGGGTAAACAGTTTGGCGCCACTGTGGGGCTAAGGATAATAGTGATTGTTTCAGTGCTGATTCTGATAACACACGTTTTTTCACACTTGTTCTTGTCTAGTATTTTTGCTCTCATGTTAAAACATGTCAAACTCACAAAACACACCCGTACATGGTGATGATGGTCTCGGATTTCATGGCGAAAACGACAATGTAATTGCTCCAGGAGCCAGGGTGCCGCCGGCTAATCTCGGAGGAGCGTCAGTTGCCGATCCAGTCGATATCAGTTCACACGTTGCTCTAAATGCGGACGTAGGCGCAGACTCCGAAGGGAGTATACGCAGGGAAGGTCGATCTGGCGGTCAAGATACACAGGGCAGAGGAGACGGAGGAGTTATTCTCCAGGTGATATTTGAGATTTTACATGCTCAGTAGGTCGCTATCGCTTAGTTGCAAAATCAACACAGGACTCCAAGTGGGGTCGAACCAGGAATCACTCACCGTACCGAGCCAGTGCCAGAAAGTTCGAATGGTAATGAATCGGGGACTGATCCTTCAATAACGAAATGCTCGAGGAGCTCACCAAAATAATTGAGTCAGGAGAGAAGAAAATCGAAGATAATGATAAAAAGGTGGAAACATACAACTTCCGAGTTGATCAGATATCGGGGGCACCCCCGATCCTAAAGGGTTTGGATTCGAAAAAGTTTGTGCAGAAGTCTTTTCATAAAAGTGCGGCTTCGAAGCCCATTCCTAAGAAGTTCCGCATGCCAGATCTACCTAAATACAACGGGACCACCGATCCTAATGAACACATCACTTCGTACACGTGCGGAATAAAAGGAAATGACTTAGAAGATGATGAGATTGAGTCCATGTTGTTGAAAAAATTTGGGGAAACTTTATCAAAGGGAGCAATGATTTGGTATCACAACCTGCCACCAAATTCCATCGACTCATTTTCCATGTTAGCAGATTCTTTCGTGAAGGCAAACTTCGGTGCCATAAAGGTCGCAACAAGAAAATCGGACCTTTTCAAGATAAGACAAAGGGATAACGAAATGCTGAAGGAGTTCGTATCCCGATTTCAAATGGAGCGCATGGAGTTGCCACCGATCACAGTTTATTGGGCCGTTCAAGCTTTCACTCAAGGGTTGAACGTGCGGAGTTCAATAGCATCACGACAGTTGAAACAAAATTTAGTCAAGTATCCAGCTGTAACTTGGGCGGATGTGCACAATCGATATCAATCGAAGATCAGGGTCGAGGACGACCAATTAGGAGCCCCTTCCGGTTCAATACATCCAAATAGATCGGCAGCTAAAACCCGAGGGACGTCGACAGGGAGCAAAGGTCAAACCGAGAACGATATCAACCATATACCGCAGATCGAAAGAACAATGGTTCAGGATACAATTCCACCCGGAATGATCGAAGAAGTGATCGAGGACAGAATTCTTGGGGACTTAGGAGAAAAAGTGGTTTTGATAAGCATGCAGATCCTATAGAGTCACCTCAGTTATTAGAATATAACTTTAGCATCGACGCAACGGGTATTGTATCGGCAATCAGAAGGATCAAAGATACTAGGTGGCCCGGACCCATACAGATCGATCCTTTCCAAAGAAACCCGAGTTTGATGTGCAAGTATCATGGCACGCATGGCCATAAGACCGAGGATTGCAGGCAATTAAGAGAGGAGGTAGTCCGTCTATTCAACGAGGGCCACCTTCGAGAGTTCCTCAGCGATCGAGCTAAGAATCATTTCAGAGAAAGGGACGCCAACAGGAAAAATGAACAGGAGGAACCCCAGCATGTCATTCATATGATCTTCGGTGGGGTCGACATTCCACAAGGGCCCATATTCAAATGCACTAAAGTATCAATCACCAGGGAAAAATAAACCCGAGATTATGTGCCCGAAGGCTCCTTATCATTCAACGACGAAGAAGCAGAAGATTGACACTGCCTAACATCGATCGCATGATTGACACCACGACTGGCCACGAGATCCTTACCATTCTCGTTCCCTACTCCGGGTACAATCAAATTCAAATGAACCCGGAAGACCAGGAAAAGACTTCGTTTATCACCAAGTATGGAAGATATTGTTACAATGTAATGCTCTTCGGGCTAAAAAATGTTGGAGCTACTTACCAACACCTAGTAAATAAAATGTTCGAAGAACAAATAGGTAAGTCAATGGAAGTTTATATCGATGATATTCTAGTTAAGTCCCTGCACGCAGAGGACCATTTGGCTCATTTGCAGGAAACGTTCAAGATTTTGAGGAAATATAACAAGAAGCTCAACCCCGAGAAATATGCTTTCGGGGACGGTTAGGGGGAAAATCAGAGAAGAAAAGAAATGTTAGTTCAACAAAAAAGAACATAAATAATTTTCGAGCCCACAAGTTGCTTGCGTGTCCTTAAAGAATTTAATCCCCTCATTGTTGCCCAAGGTTATGGATTACTTTTTCCCCGGATAGAACGGAAAAACTATTCTGTAATACTGGCAATCGAAATTACATAACTTCAGCTAACTCAACAAACAGAGCAAATCACACTTGACACTTAGTTTATTTGAAAAAATAATGCAACAATGTAGAAAAGATGGGAGAAGTTTTCAGATTTTCCAGGCTAAGCCTCTAAATTTATAGACAGTAAAAGGGCGAGATGAAGAGGTGCAACCCAAAAAGTGCCTCTTCCATTTCCCATTCAGACCCTTTAAAGAAAAACCCAACAAATTTTTGATGGCAGTTTCTAAGGGGAAAAATGTTTATGGACTATCATCACCTCATCTGGTTCTTGAAAATATTAACACAGGAAAAGATTAACTCAGATGGATAGAGCCAGCTGAGGAAAATATCATAGCAAATCAAGCCAATTCATCTTTATATTCTTGACAACAACAACATTGTGGCCTGTGGGATCCAAACTAACAAAATAGGCAACTTTTTCCTAGAATAATGAATGTGCAAGAACTGTTTTTACAAGAGTAATTTGCTAATGTATGTTACAAACCTGTATTGGATCTGAGTTGCAACAAAATCTATCATAATAATGGAGAAGAACTACGACAGGATCCAAAGCTACGCGTGGATCCCCTATGGCTGCTAGGAATACTAATCAACATATCTAAAACTTCCTTCATGTTAGGCCGATCATACGGGTTCTCAGCCGTGCACCTTATCCCAATCCTAAGCAATTCACACATTTCTTCTGCTCCCTCTACCAGTCCAGATACCAATAGAGCAACCGGGATCATGGCTCTAGTGAAACCTTTCTTTCCGTATCCCATGACCCTTGTTGCCCATTCAACTAGACATTCTTCGCCTCCGTCTATAGCATGCCTCCCTGTTGCTAGCTCCATAGCTAGAACCCCATAGCTGTACACATCTCCTTTTGTAGTGGCCTGCATTGTCTGCCCATATTCTGGTGCAACATAACCAATAGTCCCCGCCACCATTGTGCTAACATGAGTATGTTCTGAATTCATGACTCTAGCTAGGCCAAAATCTGTGACTTTTGCCCTTCCATCATTGTCAAGAAGCACATTACTAGCCTTGACATCTCTGTGAACAATGCAAGGGTAGCACTCGTGGTGTAAGTAGACTAAAGCACGTGCCACATCGATTGCTGCTTGTATTCTTTTCTTCCATGTAAACCTTGTTCTATCTGTTATGACGTCGTCTAATGTTCCACCTTCCATGTATTCATAGACTAGCAGTTTCTCTGATCCATCAAGGCACCAACCGTAAAGAGTTACAAGGTTCGGATGAGGCCAACCTGAGCCATTTCTACTGAGCACCTCCATTTCAGCTCTGAACTCTTTTTCTCCTTCAATTCCTTCCCTCTGTAGCTTCTTCACTGCTACTTCCCTTCCATCAGGCAAGACTCCACGATAAACTATCCCAAACCCTCCCCTCCCAATAATTCTATCGTTCGAGAAGTTCCACGTGGCCTTCAGTATGTCAGAATGTGTGAAGCTTGTTCTGTCCAAACGGATAACCTTAACATCATCAGACATCCGCGAAGAGGACACACCAGAACTAAATGGCAAATCATGCCGGCCCTGTGTATTCTCCAATAAGTTCCCTGGTGTATATCTAGGGCATTTTATAACAAGGCAGACAAGGAGTGACATGACTCCACTGACTAGCAAAGCTACTACCAGAACCAAAATTACCAAAACCGCACCCACCTTTGTGGGCTGCCTTTTGTGATTTTCATTCATTTTTCCTTTAGTATTGTCCGTAGAGTTGTGCATGAAGGACGGAAGATGCAACAATGGATTACCAAGAAACGATGACTTCTCAAACGTAAGCATTTGCCCGGTTTCTGGTACAGATCCATACATGTATGGATTATAAGAGATGTTGAACTTGCTCAGATCATGCAAGTTACTAAAGCTAGCTGGGAATGGACCAGAAAAATTGTTAAATGATAGGTCAAGATTTAGCAAGCACTTAATATAGCCAATCTGCTTTGGGATTTCACCAGAAAATTTGTTCTTTGATACATTAAGGACTACTGGTTGCACTTGTGCAATCTCTAAAGGGAGCCTACCGGAAAACTCATTAGCACCCAAATGCAGCATAGTGATGTTCTTCATCTTGCCAATCTCAGGAGGTATCTCACCAGACAATTTGTTTTCACTAAGTTGAATATAGCCCGGTACCTGATATTTTCGGACATTACTACCAAATTCACAGACTGGAACTAAAACATACCCTTTA